CTTAACGTTTTGAATAAACCATAAGTTAATAATTAAATAATAACAAAAAAAGAAATATTATGGGTCATCCTCAAGATTGCAAGTAGAAACCTAATTTCTATGTACGTATTTTTTTTTTTTAACAGTAGATCTGAGAAAATGATAAATTTTGTTCAATCAATTTGCATGTGTAAATTTTTTTAATTTTTTTTTTAAATTGGCATGTGTAACTATTGACGTTAAATATAGATTAAATATAAGTTACATTAAAAACAAAAGAGCATAGTTTTTTTTTTTTTTTGCTAAATTTAAAGAGAGCATAGTTAGTTAATTACCGCAAGTTCCTTGATCTTTAATGGGATTAACGGCTCCTTTCTTTCTCCAATCAACAGTCTCCGGAATTACCTCCACGTCATTCACGGTGGCTGAATATTTAATGGGGTTAACATTTTTGGCCTTAGCGACGCGGCGAGCTGGCTCGGTTCTAGCCCCGAGGTATAAACTCCGGTACTCATCGTTAGTGAGATCAGCGAATTTGGTAAGACCAAGCTTGTAAGTAGCGTTCTTGTTGTCTTCGTTGTGTAGATCAATGAATCTTAAGTTGTCTTTGAAAATATTGAATCTTTTGTCATGTTCGTTGATAATACCGTTATTGTTGTTGTTAGTTTTCCCGTGTTCCGCGGTCCATTGTAAGTAGATGGACCTCACTTCTTCATCGGTTCTCCACCAACGGTTTGATGGAAGTTTGAGATGGTTGTTGTTGTTATCACCGGAGGCTAATGAAACGACGACGTATAAGAGAAGTAAAGAGAGGATTTTTGATGAGGAAACCATATTTGTTTTGTTGTTTTTGGTAGTATGATAGTTGAGATGGTTTTGATTTGTTTTGGAGGGATGAGAAAACTGTGGAAGTATTTATAACCAAAGTTTTGGTATTTTAATATTTCAAGTTGGTATACTTTTCTATTATAATACAAAAGTAATAATGGGCATGCAAGATAGTGGGACGATTCGTAATGAATTTTTTTTATCCGAAGTATGAATGAAACTGATTTTTTATTTGTTTATAATATCTTGAATTTTTTCCCTTAAGAACATTATATGTTTGTAATAATTAACAAGGCCGGGAGATTTTTAAAAAATATTTGGTTTTTTATTTGGATGATAGTAACTGAAGATACAAAGAAATGCAAATATTTATTCGCATTATGTTTCATCCGAGATAAACCCCCACCGAGATAAAACCACAACTAGTTTGGAACAATATCACAAGTTCTTCAACTCGATTTTGCATTGTTGGTATATTCAAGTTCTCAACAAAAACTAGTGTATAAAATTAGACGGTTCTTGATCTCCGACGATTCAAAGGTCAATATATACGTACTACATGATTCACTATGATAAAAAAAATATAAATGAGACAGAAATACATCAAGTAGTATATATGTTATGCTTATGCATGTGTGTAACTGGCAAAAAAAAGTATATTATGTACCAAGGCCTTGTAAATAACTAAATTCTAACGTTCTATTTGTTTCATTTTATTTTATATTTCGATCAGAATAATATACACCTTGTTTCCTGGGCTATGGTTCAGGTATGTATAAAATAATTTACAGAAATAAAAAGTTGGATTAAATATCAACCATTCTGTTTATATGGAATATACATAATTAATAAATTAGACTAAAGCATACTTCTAAGCAGAAAATTGTGAGATAACCGACCAAGAAACAAAGAACTAGGGAACACAATTCTCTTCTTTCTGCGACATTTATTTCACCAAAGATAACCAAATTTCAAAGATCTATAATCTATGGAGTCAAACTATTCGCCTGTAATTCAAATAGTTTACTATTCTCTTCTAACTTTGTGACGGGATTATCTTGTAAATTGTGTAATTTTTTTTTATTTTCAGTAATATAAGTAGGCATGTCAAACGAGATAATCCGATCCGGCCCGGCCCGAAACCCGTAAAATCCGCCTATATATAAGTCCGGCCTAACCCGGCCCGAAACCCTTAAAGTCCGCCTATATATAAGTCCGACCCGGCCCAGCCTAAAAAATATTCGGACCTATTTTTCAAAACCCGGCCCGATCAGAACAGGGTTAAAGGGCTTTATGTGATTTTTCGTATTTATATATAAAATAAAAATAAATTAAAAACAAATATTATTTACCAAAATAAATCCAAATTTAAATAACTACCAATATGTTTTTTATCGAAATCCAATTTAACTAAAAGAAAAAGTGTGACCAAATGAATGCAAACGTCAAATGAATTCAAATAACTATAAATAAATAGTACTGTCAAATAAAACATAAACAAAATACCAAAAATCCAATTAGTAGAATAAGATTTTTTGTCAACGAAATACATATATATAAATTATTTTAACCAATTTATCTTTAAAAAATATCTTTAAACAAAATTTATTACTAAATTTATATATTATATGTTTATTTTCGAACTTTCCGGGCCGGTCCGAGTCCAACATGGCTAAAACCCAAAAACTCAATAGCCTGAATGGGTTTGGCCCGAAAGGCCCGATTTTTTTTAGGTTTATATATTTAGATTCAAACCCGGTATTTTTAAAAGTTGGACCGGACGGGGTTTTGGGTTTTGACCATAATTGAAATGCGATAAGACTCTTTTTTCCTTGTCTGCTTGTTGTTTACATCACCTTCTATGTATCATTCACTAGAGACTTGCGTATGTATTAAATCAATTAAATTTCACCAATTTATTCATGTTTGACGTACATAGCTATCGTATAGTAGAAGATATTACTCACTCATTTTGATTATTAGCACAACAATATTCATTGTGATGTCATTTTTAATTTTATTTTTGCTTCTCCACTCAACACATATGCGTGATAATATATTATTCTCTTTAGAAGTTTATATTCTTATGGTGATGCAATTAAATTTGTTTTAACCCGATTTAATTTTATCATGGCAGTTTTTTTTTTTTGGAGAAATTTTATTAAGATAGTTAACTTGTTTTTTTTTTTGAAGTTCAATAATTTCGTTTTCTATCGAGATCAGTATTCACACACACATATAAACTTCACTAAAGTGGAGTGATCATATATATATGTGTATCATGGCTTAGGCCTTATCCGGTTATCCCTTATGTAGCCATTGTTCCTACAAGGCTACATTACCATTAAAACTGCAAGTAGCTGCATGCATCTTCTTCGTGTTTAAGTCTTGCGTCGAATTAATTAAGTTTGTGTGTGTGTATATATACATATACATATGTTGTGTGTATAGAGTATAGACAAAGGATCTAGAATATGTGGGCTTATTAGATATTTATTTGTTTAGTAAATTCTAAACTTAATTCACAGACGTGCAAACATTAAACATTGGTTTGTGTACAATCTAATTAGGTATGGATGTCTGTGAATTTCTGAATTTACGTTACATCAATTTCCAAGAATCTACAAAGAGACGGAACAAAGCTAGGTAGAAATGATGAATATTAAGAAGAGTCGATACTCTCTATAAGTCTATGACTCTATGCATACTTTTCGTTGATTATTAGTCTTCAGGCAAGGTATATATATATTTAACACTCATTATAGACCATGTCAAAAACAAATTAATATAGACCATAAAATAAGATTTTTTTTCAGAACGGAAAATTATCTAAAATAAGCAAGTATGTTTTGACATTATGTAAGCAAGTATATATTTCAATGGTTACTCAAAAATG